CAAAGGGTAGACTGCTCAACTATTGGAACTAAAAAGGACCTAAGAGATCATCTAATAGTGTTCTCCAAGTATTCAGCAGCACTATGACTTAAACCTATTTGGGGCAGTTCTGTTGTCGCCACAGAAATGACCTAAAGACAAATATAAATGGCTTATGTGTTAACTGGGACATTGGCAGGATAATTGAGAGCCAACAGTTAAAGTCAGCTGTGCAGCACTAGGAGCCATGCGGAATTGTCCTGGATTCTTCCCAGCTGAAAATGATTCTGGAGATGAATTCATATAGGAATGGCCACATTTTATTTTGGTAGGAAGAATAGAAGGGCTATACCCTTCTCTGATCTTAATCCTTTGACCTCAGCTCTATGCATCATTATGTTTGTGGAAATCTTTTCTTCCCAGATTCCACACTGTACCTTCATGAGCTCCTAGAAGGCAGTGAAATCTATCTCCCAGAGGTTGTGAAGCCTCCCCGGGTATGTAAGGGATACATTTGTGAGCATCCGTGTTGGCTAAGTTGGGCTTATTCATGACACACCCAAATTTACAAATCAACCTTTGGGCTCAAAAATTTGTCTTTTAAATCCTTGAGAGCTGGGGTGGGGGAACCAGATATTGTCCTCCCTGTTTGACAACTTGGAAAACTGAGATCCAAAAAAGAAAAGGTTTCCAAAGCAATGGAGGCAGAACTAGAACATGGGTCTCCTGGCACCCTTAGGAGTGCTTTGCCCCCTGAAACCATGATTGTGACATGCTTTCTAGCACAGTGGGAATATGATTCTTCTCATTTAATTTTTCTGCCTCAGAACCCAGAGCTAGTTGCTCGTCTGGAGAAGATTAAGATACAGCTGGCCAATGAGGAATATAACCGGATCACCCGCAATGTCACTTGTCAGGTAAGGGCCTACTTTTCAATACATGGACTGAGTAGCCCCTGAAAGGAGGGCCCTGCCGTGGGAAGAGGTACGGAGGAAAGAAACAACATGGAAACTTAGTTTGCAGACTCTTCAGGGACCAGAGAAGCTCCATGCTGCATACAAACCAAATATAATTCCCAACTCATTCACTGAGACTCTGGGCTCAGATGGTCACTGATTCTGAAAAGTGTAGAGGTGGGGATGAGCCTTGAAGCCTTTCTTCTGACAGTGCTCCCTACTGTTCTCTGGCGTATTCTTGACCATTAGCAGGAGAGGGGTAGATGGGTACTGAGAGCCTCTGTCCTTTCTCTGAAATGCTTGATCTGTGGCTCAAAAAAGAATCCAGCTGGTCCCAGACAAAAGAACCCACAGAGAAGGCAGTTAATGTGTTGCAGAATAAAGAATGCTTAGCCCAGACTGACAAATGGATACTCTCTGGGCTACCCCTGAGCTGCTTCCATTCTGAAATCGTTTGCTTTTTGTTTTTCCCAGGATTCAAGGCACGGTGGGACTCTCAGTGACCTGGGAAAGCAAGGTGAGGTACTAGGAAATCCGGCTGCTAAAGCCTCTCCCTGGGAGGGGTCGGTCATGGCACTCCTTCTTGCCCGAGTGCTCTGGGTGCTATTCAGGCTTTCTGTTTGAGGGAAACCCAGTTGATGAGGGAGGCAGCCATGAGACAAGAGGGTCTCCTGGAGCATGCTGACCTAGAGGTTTCTTCCCTGGGCTCCTCCCCAAAGTGAGATCAGTGAAGGCTCTTGTCATCACCATCTTCAACTTCATTGTCACGGTGGTAGCTGCCTTCGTCTGCACTTACCTTGGAAGCCAGTATATCTTCACAGATATGGCCTCGGTGAGTAGACACCGGGCAGAGCAGGGTGCCCCAGTTGGGAGTGTTAGTAGAAAAGGGAGGACTATGTGAAAATGCCTCGCACAGATTGGGTATTGAACAAATATTTATGTAGTAAATTAGAGGAGCATTTGAGCTATCCAGCAGTCGTGGGAGTAGATAATACCCTTTGGAGAATCCATATCCTCTTTTCTTCCCCTTCCCCCAACTTGTGGGCTGGGTTGGGGGTCCTCTCTATCCTTATTATCGGTGTCAGAGGCAGGCCTGCATCCGCTAAGCCTGGTTCTCTTCCTCCCCAGCGGGTACTGGCTGCATTGATCGTGGCCTCTGTGGTGGGTCTGGCTGAGCTGTACGTCATGGTGCGGGCAATGGAAGGTGAATTGGGAGAGCTATAACTGATGCTTCATCGTCAAAGTCTGGAGAGGGTTTTGGGAGATCCCAGGCTCCTAGCTGCCAATCACTGACTCAGTCAACCTATCAGGCTCTTCGTACTCAGCTCCAGTTAGTCAGAGGACTGGCCAAGGCTGCCTGCTCTTCCTGTGGGGAGCCCCATCCTCTGTCAACTTCCAGAGAGGGTAGTAGAGGAGACTCAGACAACAACTGAACAGAACTGGTCTCTCAGGACCGTCTCCTGAACCCTGTGCTCATCTACCTTCTCCAGTCCGTTCTGGGCACTGCTGGCGCTGGGTTTTTTCCAGCAGGAGTAAATAGAATCCAGGCCTTCCCAGCAGTAGACCGTACTGCCTTGACTTGCCCAAGTGCAGAAATCGATGGTCATCCTTGCTCCACACATCCTTGTTGCAGACCTGTAATTTAGATCAGAAGCCTCCAAAGAAGCAGAAAGGATTCCCTTTCTCCAGTTTGTGCTGGAAGAGGAACTGATCAGAGGACATCAAAAAAAGAAAGACAGATTGGTACAGGATGGTGGAATTGGAAGCATGGCAACTGCCTTTTCTGAATCTTCATTTCTGTCTTCATGCTCTTCCTTCTGCTTGCTTTTTTCCTATTTTCTGTACGCTTTGCCTGTCTCTGCCGCTCAGCCCTGCTTAACCCTCCCACCTTCCCATCACCCTTGGCTCTGCTTCCCAAAATGGAAAACAGTTCAGACAGCAAAAGAGTATGTCTGCTTTTAATTGCAAGATCCCTTGTGCTTGTTTGATCTTTGGATTGAGTATGCCTACTGTGGCTTATCTCTACTATTAATGGGAGACGTTCTTTATAGACAGGGAGTATTTTCAGATTTAACCATATGTATAACTATGAGTATGTGTACATGTCATATATGTTATGAATATATGTATTGTTATAAATAAGCCTAATGCGGCATATTTTATGTAGGTTCTTAAACATGTTTGGGTGAGTGCGAAAAATAGTAAGTAAATGTTCACAGTTGACTAATTGTTTTACATGATTGCTTTTGATCTTGACAACCGTTCCGGAAGTTGGAAAAGGAAATGGTTTTAGGCCCCTTTTCCAGAAGACAAAACTGAGGCTGAGAGGGATCAGATGACCAGCTGTGGTCCTTCCTCTGTTAAATAGAACCAAAGACTCCTAGGTTGTCCTGAAGTCTCCGCGTGATGTTAAACTTCTAAGACTTTAGATTAGTGGTGTGCTGATAGAATCTGTATAAGGCACTTAAAAATGATATCAGCGTTGTTATTTACCTAATAAATATTTATTATATCCAGTATACGTTTGTTTCAAATCTTGTGACAAGACAAAAGCTCAGAGATTTCCATGGTTCTGAGAATTGTTCAGGGTCTGTTCCTAAAGGTAAACTCCATCTTTCTGTTCGTTCTCTGAATGAGCTCCTATGGTATTTTTTTTTCCAGGGCTCTCTTCTGTTCTTAGAAGTTAGACACTCATTGGCTCAGTAGACATTTCCTCTGCAATGTTGCCAATTTCTTCTTGATATGTCGCAAGTTTGAGCCTCTCAGGGCAATATTCTACATGAGAGAGAGGAAGGGTCTAGGCCCTTGTGTTCCACCATAGATCACTTTGTTGAGAAATTTTAGGATTTCTTTGTTCAGAAGAAATTTCAACAGAAAAAAATGCAAGCGGCATTTTACAGTGTTTCTGGCAACCCAGACTGTTTAAGATTGAGTTAGAAAAGCTACACTGACCTTTTTTGAAATTCACGGCTGTACGTACATGTGCTGCACTCGGTAAGCCAGGGTGCCCACGTATCTTTAGGCTTTCACATCTTCCATGCACCTGGATTCAGATTAGAAGACTTTCAAATTTTAGATAAAAAGCGGGCCACCTGAAACAGCTTCTGACCCAGGTCATCTTCTCATGATTAGATTGGAGTCATTCCACATACACACACACCCCTTTCTTTGGATGGGGTCTTTGCCTCATCCCCACCCCTTACTCACAAGCCAACAGGCTTCTGTGGCCTTGAGCACTTATTGAGAGTTCCTTTATGGGCCAAGCACTCTTCCCGCTCCTGGGGTAGAGAAGTAAAAGACCTAGTTCCTGCCGAGGAAATGGCCTCTTTGCAAGGTGGTTTCCATCTGCAAGGGCAGAATTAGAAATAGGAATCGAGTGGCCTGTCCTCCAGTTCTCCTTGCGGAGAAGGGAACTTTATCTGCCCTTAGCCCCTTCCTCTGTCTCACCATACCAGTGCTTTCTCCAGTGCACTCTGGGTCCAGTGCTTCCCGTGGAGAAAGGGGAGTGCATGGCAGGAGGCCAGTGGAACAAGAAGTTTGGGGCCTTCCCAGTTTCTCACGGCCTGCTGTGTGGAGAGGAAGAGGGAAGTAGCATGTATTGAGAGCTTTTGCAACGTGTTGCACACCACAGGAAACCCTTCACCTGCATTATTTCTTCTCATTTCCAAAATAAAGAGACAAGTGTTACCCTCCTCATTTATCAGGCTCATAGACATTCAAAGAGTTGCAAAGTTATGTAGCAGAGCCAGGATTTGAATCCAGCACAGACCGATTGCAAACTCCCTGCTTTTCTCTCTGAAGCAAAGAAGCTGCAGAAGTGGGGGCAGCTGGAGTGTGCTGGAACCACTGCGATGAGGAGCAGGGCGTGCAGCAGAGGCTCCCATCTCCCCAGGGTCTGTCTTTGAATTAACTCTCCCTCTCACTAATCCCAGCAGAAACCTGGGTAATACCTCCTACCCAGAATCTGTGTGGAACCTGACCCTATTTAGGGATTAGGTGGTGGAGATAAATTTCAAAAGCAAATGGCCCTCGTCCTCATTCATTTGCAGCACTCAACAATCCAGATTAAGGTACAGAGTTTGAGTTTTATTTGGAGATTAGTTGGCATTACAGATGAGGGTGATACCAAAACCCAACGCTGCCACGCGCACACCCCCACCCCCACTGCATCCTAAATCTGTCAGGTTGTCTCCACAGCCCCAGGTCAGAGGGCAGCCAATCTGATCTTCGTGAAAATTAAATCAACGTAAGCCCCAGCTTCCTATTTCTACTTTATTACTTGAATATCACCCTCTTCAGATCCATGGTTCTGATTAATTTGTCCAGGTGGCAGGATGTCAGGAGAGAAGGCCCTGAACTATAACCGGGTTGGTCCCCAGCAGTCTGGAATTAGATCAGCACTCTCCTCTCCCTGCTCACTTAGCAGTTAGTTAGGAATGGCCTGAAGGGCCCTCAGGTGAGGGGCAGCTGCCTGTCCTCCTTTAGAGGGAGAAGGTGTTATCGGCTGGGGTGACAAGAATTGGGGACCAAGCCTGGCAAGAGAGGTGGAAAACGTGGTCCTCTACCTCATCCCTCTGTAGGTACCTCCTGCTGAGATGATGGGCATATGCCGGGTAGTAGGAGCCAGGCCCCAGTCACTCCACAGGACCTGCATCTAGGCTGGCCTGGAGGACAGTGGAAGGGAGGGATCCCTGAGCTAATCTTTCCCATAAGAGAACCCCCTGTGTAAAAGGAACGGGCAAGGGATCCACTTCTGATGTTCAGTTCTAACGGGCAGGGTAGACTACAGGAGCCAGAGGAGGGGTCTTGCAAGTTCTGGACCTGGATTAGTGGTCCAGATTGGTGACAATGGCCGAGGCATAGATGAGGTCAGACAGACTGCCCAGTGAGGTCTGGGGAGTAGCTCGGTCTGAAGAGAGGGGGACCCCTGAAACCCCAGCTGGTCCCCATGGGGCTGCAGCTTTAGCCCCTGCTCGGCCCTGCCCTGGACCCAAGCCAGGAGCTGGACAGGAGGTGTGTGGACACACCGAGGCGCACTGAGGTGTGCCGCTGGAGGGTGGAGGCTGGCGTAGTGTTTGTGGCTCCCGGGACAGCTGGATAGCGTCTGAGAGATGAAATTTCTGGGGTGGCTCAGTCTTGGGGCTTAGGCCTCCTGGCTTCCCATTCTTTATTCTCTTAGCCCGGCGGTTCTGGAACCACACCTGGTGAGGAAAGAAAGAATCTCCTCTGGCTCCAGCACCCCCTCCCCCCAGGTACAGGGAAAGCAGAACCAGGAGGCAGGATACCCAGAGAGGAGGGGCTGTGGGTCAAGCCCAGAAGTTGGCTGTGTAAGAGGACCCCCACCCTGAGAGGAGGTCGTAGCTCACCTGTATCTTGGCCTCAGGAAGGCAGGTGACCTGGGCCAGGTGTTCCCGGGTACCAATGTCAGGGTAGGGCCATGCTGCAAACACTCGCTCCAACTCCAGCAGCTGCCCTCTGCTGAAGGTGGTCCGCTTTCTCCGGTGGGGACCCAACCCACTGGCATGGCCTGAGGGCCGGGGTAAGGATCAAGCCAGGACTCTGCAAAAGCCTCCATCCCAGCCTCAAAGCCCCCAACAAACCCTGAAGCCCCTACTCCCCACCCCTCTTCAACCTTCCCCCATCACACCCTTCCCCACATCCTCCCCTGCCCACACTGTCCCCACCAGGTCACCTGTTGGAGAAGCATCTACGGGGCTGGCCATGGAGCTGCCAGAGAGTGAGGAGCCAGAGGGCCATGCCAAGGCTGTGCCCGCACCAGACCCCTCCGTTTGGGGTTTTATCTGCTCAGAATGGCTGGCCCCGCCTCCAGCAGGGGAGAGGTTTAGAGTCCAGCTCGAGGCTGGGCAGAGAAGTCCCGGAGGAAAGAGGGAAGACCACTGGTGGTGGTGGGGCTATTGGGAGTATGGAAGGGGCAAAAGTTTTGTAGCCCCTACTCCTCCAGGGCTTCCCCAAGGGAGCTGGTCCCAGCCCCCCTCCTCAAACCTCAAACTCTGGCAGTCTGTGTCTGAAATCCTGTACTTCCTGAAAATTCTTCCAGGAAGCTAAAGAAATCCCTTATTCCAGTGCACCCAGTGCTTCAGCTGACCCTTCTGGAGCCCTCAGTGCCCCAGTGCTGGCTGCCATCAGAGGAGAGTAGATGGAGTCTTGTCGCACAACTGAGGACTGGGCTGGTGACGCTGGACAGGATGAGGGTGAAACGGGGACAGGAGGTGAGCTTAAGCCACCCCGCCCTCAGCAGAGCTGGAGCAGGTGTCACCTCCCTCGGGTGGTGCCGGGTCTGCTTCAGAGCTTTGCCTGCGTCTGACCCTTTCTCCCTGGCCCCTCAAGAGCCCAGATGTGCTTCCTGGAGTTCAGGAACCTGGAATCAGAAGAGGTTCCACAGGTACAATTGAAGGGTTTTAAGAAAGATGTTTGTTTTTACGGTGTCCTCATCCCATCCTTGGAAGTCTTCTGGGCCACTTTTCTAAGAAAAGTGGGTGCATTTGCATTTCCTTTTAGTTCCTGCCCCTCCCCATCTCTCCTAACCTCAGTGCCCACCCCCTAGACCCAAAATGGAGAACTTAGAGACCCATTGTAGGCGTGGGTTTGGGGGAGCACAGTGACCAGTTCACCAGGGACTCTCGTGTTTGTGAGCTAACCACGTTTCAGGTCCAGGATGGGCAGAAAAGCTGAGCCAGAACCCACCGCGTCCTGCCCCTTCTCTCTCCTCCAAGGCCCTAGTCAACTCCAAGAGGCAAAGCAAGCCCAGAGCTGGGCAACTCCTGTCATCATCAGAGGGGGTCAAGCTCCTGCTTAGCTGCTGGTGGGTTGCTTGGGGCTGCTTAGCTCAGGAGGAAGGCTAGCACTCATGAGGCCCTCCCCAGCCTACAGCATCCCTGGTTCACAGAGAAGACTTGAGCCCAACATGGGCTGGACACGGGGAGGCTCTTCTCTGTTCCCTTCCCCAAGCCATCCTGACAGCCCAGCTTCCCCTCCTTTTCCCAGGCAGATCCCTGCCTCCTGCCCGTCCACCCCAGTCAGGACAGTGGTCTGAAACTCAGGGCCAAGCGATCTTTATTGGGCTGGGAGGAGGAGGTCAGAGGAGGGAGCAGCGGAGGGCCCAGCTGTGTGGGCTCAGACTCCTACTTCTCGTCAGGGGCTGGGCAGCCCAGCCAGTACTGGGCGATAGAGCGTGGGTAGGGAGGTCTCACAGTGTCCACTTGCCGTGTGCGAAGGTTGACTCGGTAATACTGGTCTGGAAGAGAGATCGAGAGAGGGTGTGTGAGATCCAGCCTGGTCCTGCCCAATTCTGCCCTGAGAAAGAACTGGGTCTCTTCTGGAAGGGGACGTGAACATCCACAATACGGCTAAGAACTTCCAGACTGGCCTTCTGGAGTCACCACCCAAGGGCTGCATTCTGCCCATGGGGACCAGGGACAGCAGGGAAGACCCTGGCCAAACCAGCTACAGGGGTGGCAGGGGCTCCAACCTCCTGAGAAGAAGTAGACGCTCTGGATGGGCTCGCAGGTGGCAGGCATAAACAAGTCCATCTCATAGTTATAGTCATAGTTGTAGGCTCCCACGCCGCTCTCCTCACTGGAGAACCAGGACAGCCAGGCTGAACGGGATTGCCGGCGGGGGCTCTGGCTGCGGCTGCGGCTGCGGCCACGGCCACCGCGTGACCGATAGCGTTTACGGTTGCGACGTGCTGACTTGGGCTTCTTGACCCAGGAGGAGCGGGAAGCTGAGCCTGAGATGTAGATGTGGCCAGCCATGGCCGCATCCACTTGCGTGGGCACACCAGGCCAGTCCTGGCTGATGAACTGGGGCTGTCCAGTACCACCTGTGGCAGGGAAAGCGTTGTTGGGGAGCCTCATGGGCCTGGACCCTGCCCACAGCAGAGCCTTTGAGTTCATCAGATGCCCAAGGATGGACCACGCCTTGCCCAAGGGCACACAGCAAGCTAGTGGCAGAGTCCAGCAATCGGCCTTCTGACTCCCTGGTCAATGCTCTTTCCCTTGGCCTCCCTCCACCATATCCCCCCCATCCCGGTGGCCTCAGCCACAGCCCCTCCTTCTGCTGGCTGTGCTAGGCAAAGTCCAAGGTGTGGGGTCGAGGTAGAGGCAAGCCTCCCCCCAAAGGTCAACAGAAGCAAAGTCTGGCCTGAGCAAACAGCTTTTGATCGATAGCTCCACAATCAGCCCCTCCAGCCAGCCCAGCCCCACCACTACCTTCCCAAGGGATCCCAGCCCTCTTGAGGGGGAAGCAAGACTTGCCCTCCCTCCATACCAGAGGAAGTGTCCCTGAAGAGAAGTCTGAAGATGTCTTCCCAGGTGTGCTGCTGCATCAGGGCAAAGTGTTCAAACACGGTCGACAGGGAGCTGCCTTCACACTCCTCCTGACTGGGCTGTTGCTGGAAGTGGTACTCCCAGTACTGTTTCCCTGAGAAGGGATGGGCATGAGCAAGGCTGGGAAGCCCAGAGGCTATCGAAGTTAGGAGCTCCTGGCAGTGGGGTGGGCATAATCTGAGGCCTGTCCCCAGTGAAGTGTGGAAGAAAACTGCTCTACCTCCTGCTCCTCCTCCACCCCGACCCCACTGCCCGAGTACCCTTGAAAAAGTAGACCCGCTCCCGGCCACTGTAGCTATGAGCAGGGAGGGCCAAGGCTGCGTCCACGTTGTCTGGAATGCCACTGAAGCCTTCAGAGATGTTGCGGGGGTAATCGGGGTCCAGGACACCATCCTCGAAGCGCCAGTACTGACTACCCTAAGGGGTAGGGAAGGCGGAGAGGGGTGACAAGACAGCTGCCTGGGCATAGAGGCAGAGTCCCATGCCCAAGGCAGCACTCCCAGTTCCAGGCTTGTCTCCCAGCACCTGGAGCCTTGGACTTCCCTGTCCACAGACCAGCCAGGGATCACAGGCCGGGATCCAGACTTCTTGCCCATCCTGGTCCTGCGAACAACAGCCCTCAACCCCTGCCTAGATGCCCTCAACCCTGACCCACAGCCCCTGGGCCTGGCACCTTGAAGAGGTAAGTCTTCCCCTGACAGTTGATGCGGGTGAAGGCGGCATCAATGGGGCCCTCGATGCCCCAGACATCTTGGATGAGTTTGGGGTACCCAGGCCTCACTGCCTTTTCATCCAGCTCATAGCAGTACTTCCCTAGAGTGGGGGAGGTTGTGTGAGGGAGGGGATGCTTCTGGGGCAGACCCACACCCCCATGACCTGCCCCTGGAGTCACCTCGGAAGGCAAAGAGGGAACCATTCTTGAGGTCAGTGAAGGCGTCAAAGGGCTTCCCACTGCACAGCTCCTCCTCTGCTGCGGACTCAGAGATCTCTTGATCAGTGGTCTCAGGCTTTAGGGGCCCCGCCTCAGGCCTTAGAGGCCCTGCATCAGGCACTGAGCTGCCCTGCCCAGGTCCTGGGTCCTCTTCCTCACGGTTTAGAACAGGTGCCTGCTCAAAAGTCTCTTCAGGCTTGGCCTGCAGGTCAGGGCTCTGGATAGGGGTCTCTGACGGTAGTGGGACGCCGGTCTCCTCGTGGTAGTCATAGACCCCGTACTGATCTTCTGGCAGAGTGAATACATCCCCGCGAGTCACTGCAGGCAGAGAGGATAGTGGTGAGTCTCCAGCTGCAGAGGGGACCCCAGGCCCACCCAGCCACTCTGAACGCACCTTGAGGCTTGCACTCAGCCTGGTAGTCGGCGCAGCAGCTCTGGTAGTAAGAGCAGAGCTCGTCGCATTGACACTTCCTGTCGGAGTTGAAGCCCTCAGTGCAGCGGCCTTTGCACGACTCTGTGGGGAGGGGGTGTCAGTTGGCACGGCCAAGCCTGGCCACCCTCACCCTACATTGGCCCAGATGACCACCAACACCCTCCCAAACCTTGGTCAGCCAGTACAGCCCACGCCAGCATGGCCAGCATCAGAAGGGGCTTTGGGGGTGCCATGGCAGGGCCTCCAGCTGCGAGCCTGGCAAACTGGGCTCTGCACTTTGCACCCCCTGCGGTCTCTGCTCTGATGCCTGAGGAAGAGAGGGAGAGGCGGAGACAGGGAGGGAGGGCACCAGACAAGAGGTGCTGCCTTTTCTGCTGCTCTGTTTACTCAACCTCCAGCCCAGCCCCCAGTGCCGGACCCCTGCTGCCGCATAGGGTCACATTCCTGGAACTCTGGGCCTGGGAGAGCTGCGAATAGGATCCTTGCCAAGCTCAGGGTCATCTCAGAAGGGGAATAGCACAGTGGGTCTGGAGGGAAGAAAGAAGACCCACTCTGCCACTCCCTGGCTGTGTGACCTTGGGCAAACTGCTTTTCCTGCCTTAGTTTTCTTTTTGGTAAAATGAGACTAATAATACTTGCCTCGTGGGATGTTGGGAGATCACGTGAGCGAAAGCAGACAAAACGCCCAGGGCCTGGAATGCCCCAACTTCTTTCCCCATAAATGGTTATTGATCCATGATCTGTTTGATCAGGCACATCCCTGGCTGGGTGGCTCACCCACCCATTGTGTATTTAGGGCAGTGAGGGGGGGTTGGTTGGAGGAGCGCTGGTAAGCACTCTGTGGAAATTTTTTTTTATCATGAAAGAATGACATTTCATGTATGTGTTCATCTCTTGGGTGTACTGATTTTCCCAAGCTGGTCTTCACAGCACAGTAAGTTGGGTGAGTATTAACCCTTTGGACTAGATTTGATTCCTGAGCCCTCCACTAACTCTCTGCTCCTGGTCAGGCCACTCTCTGTCGTTGCCCTCAGTCTCCCCATCGGTAAAGAGTGGCCTAGTTCCCCATATTTGCAGACCCTCCTGGGAAGTAAGACCCAGAAAATGGGTCTTTTTACACAGAAAATGCCCATTAGGACAGAACGCCTGATTTTGTGCCCACTTTCAGAGCTCCACGGATGTCCTGAAGTCCTCCCACCACCTGGCGGAAGCGATCCTCAGAGTTTCCAGCTGGCTCTTCCTGTTCTGTAATCAGAGGGGAGTGTGACTTTGGGTAGTCTCTTCTCTATGGGCCTGTTAAATGGGAACGCTACTCCCTACTTGTATGCATGCTGTAAGGCTTAACTGAGAAACAGGCATAAAGGGCCTCAAGACTTGTACAGAGTCGTTATTATGATGGCATTAACCACTAGTACAAGGGAGGGTACACTCAACAGTGTTGCCCTCATATTCCAGCGTCTTGGGGGAAAACCAAGGCCGACCTCTACCTCTCCACCTGCGCCGAGCGAGCGGTGCGGGCCTGGGATGAACTATGGGAGAAGGGCCTGGCCAGGGTGTGGGCGTGTCTAGGGAAGGCTTGGGGGTGGGACTGCGTGGGCGGCAGGGGAGGAGCCCCCAGAGGCGGGGCGTCGGATCCTGCTCCGCGGCTTCTCAGGGGCGGGGCCGCTGCAGAGCATCTTTCTGCCAGAGGAGCCTGAGTTGGAGCCGCGCTTTGTTCTGGTTCCTGCCTGCTAGACCCTCCGGCGTCTGGGTCCATTCCTCGCCTCCTCTCTCCCTCCTCCAGCCCATCGCCTGCATCTACACCTGCATCCCCTTCCCCAACCGCTTCGTCCCAGATCCTGCCCTCACCCCTCCCTCAAACTTCTGGCCAGCGCCCTTGCCTGTCATCCCTCCCTCCTGTATCTTCTTCTCCCTGGTCCCTTCTTGGGTCCCCCTTTTCCCAAGGTCTGGGTCTCTCCGCCCGGCCCCGCCCCTCCAGGCTGGGGATGTCCCCCGCAGCCCGGCGTCCATGGTCCTGACGCTGCTCCTCTCTGCCTACAAGCTGTGCCGCTTCTTCGCCATGTCGGGCCCACGGCCCGGCGCCGAGCGGCTAGCGGTGCCGGGACAGGACGGGGGAGGCGGCGCGGGCCTCTGGTGGGCAGCGGGAGGCCATGGGGCCGGCGCCGAGGTGCAGGGCGCCCTGGAGCGCGCGCTACCCGACCTACAGCAGGCGCTGTCGGCGCTGAAGCAGGCGGGCGGCGCGCGGGCCGTGGGCGCCGGCCTGGCCGAGGTCTTTCAGCTGGTGGAGGAGGCCTGGCTGCTGCCGGCCGTGGGCCGCGAAGTAGCCCAGGGTCTGTGCGACGCCATCCGCCTGGACGGAGGCCTTGATCTGCTGTTGCGGCTGCTGCAGGCGCCGGAGCTGGAGACACGCGTGCAGGCCGCGCGCCTGCTAGAGCAGATCCTGGTGGCTGAGAACCGGTGAGGATGCTGGGCTGAGAGGAGAGCGCGGGGGTGGGGGTGGGGTGGGGGGCGGTAGGGCAGCAAGAGTGGTCTAGTGCCTGGTCTGTCTTTCGTGTGACTCACACTGTGCCTTTACTGCTTCACCTCTACAATTTCTTGCACTACACCCCTCTTGGGGATCAGCTTGTCCATTTTACAAATGAGGAAACTGAGGCTTGGGAAAGTTTAAAGACTTTCCCAGCGTCACACAGTGAACTAATGGTGCAGCCAGGATTCTCTCCCAGGGCTAGTGGGGTGAGGAATGAGACAAGGAGAGGAAGAATGGAGTAGTAGGACAGGAATCTGTCCCTGGTTCTGAGGATGGAGATGGGATCCTATTGTCAATGCCCTCCTAAATCCACAGCCCTCCTCCCCACGGGCCTGGGTGCCCTTCTATGCTGCCTTCTCTCTGCCACTGAGTAAGGAAGAGAACACAATACTCAGAAAAGGGAGGATGGGTCTCCCCTTTCCTCTCTCTCCAGGCTGAAATGAGTGCTGACTTTCGCTTCATTTTACTTTCCCCCTTCATGCCACTCCTGTCTGCCTCCTGCTTCCTTCTTCATTTTGGTCCACATAACAGGCCAGACATGATCTCATTCTGCTGCTGCTAATGGGGAACAGGAGGTTTTCTGCTGGGCTGAATGGGTCGGGGAAGAGGAAACCGAGGTGCAGAGCTGGGCAGGGGCCAGACAGAGTATGTGTTCTCTACCCCGTCCCCACATAGTGCCAAGATACAGTAGGTGGGGTCCCACTGAGGCCTAGCTGCCACTCTTGCTTGCCTTTTGGGGTCTTCCCTGGAATATGAGGACCCCTGAGCACCCACTTTCTCTCCCCTCAGCTACCAGAGCAGACCAGGCTGTCACACTCCAGTCTCATTCTGAATTCCTGGGCCCCTCAGGTTTGGAAGGGTCACTTTCAGTTCATGCAGCTCTCACAAGTGTTATGGGCATAGGTTAGGGGTGCTTTCTTTCCGACTTTCAAAAAGTAAAAATAACCTCATAGATGGTGGAAATGATACAACTGTCAAAAGTTCATGAATGAAGCCATTTAAGCTGGGAGACCAAGTTAGGATTCTGCTTGTTCAGCAAGTCATTAATCTCCCATATAACATCAGGTGTCCTGATGGGGATTGGCCGTAAATTTGAAGGGCTCACAAACGGAGCGGGTGCTCACTGGACGTGGTGGGCCCAGGTTGGCGGGTGTGCCCTGTAGGCCTGGCGCGTGGGCTGGGACAGAGTTCCTGAGGAATGGGTGCAGCCAACACCCTAGGAAGAGGAGAGCTGAAAGATGCAAACAGCACTGATGTTTTTCAAGATTGAAAATAATAATCCTCACCAGGTTCAGAATTACTGAGAAAAGAGTCTCACTAACCAGTGTCCCTGGTCCTGAGAAAGAACGTGTGGCGCTGGCATCACTTCAGGACCAAGGACAGAGCCGAGCGCACCTGGTAGCGCGATCAAAATCCTCCCAAAGAAAGGCAGTATCTCCTCACCTGTCTAGACTGCGCGGGGAGGAGGCTGGAAGGGAGAGAAGGGGAGTGACACAGTGAGAATTTATGTCTATGAAATCTTGTCCTTCCTCCATCAACCAACCTCCTCTTAAAAGAAGGTTCTTCCATCAATGCACCCCCTCCTTTTGCTATTCCCTTTCCTGCAGCTCTCTTTTTCCCAGGGGCCTGCCACAGCCAGTGCCCAGGAGCCTAGGTCACAGCTCCCCTCACCCCCAAATACCAGGAGAAGCAAAACAAGATAGGGCCCTCTGAGCTTGGTTCCAAAATACCCAGAAAGGGCCCCATCTGACTGCTAGCCCTCGAAATTCACAGCCCATCCCCATCAGGGAACCACAATGAGGTTGAATGGTTTAACTCAGAGAGGTTAAATGGCTTCCCCAAGAATACACAGTGAATAAGTGGAGGAGACATGTTTAAAAGAAACCAGAAAACTATTGCACGTAAATTCAAAAAAGCACAGAGGCACAAAAAAGATACACACTTGAAAGTTCTTCTTTCCACCCAGATGCCTTCCCTGGAGGCAAACCAGTGAAACAAGTTTCTTCTATGGCCTTCCAGAGTCTATGCATATGCTAGTATTTGCACATATATGTACATTATATGTACATTCTTGTATATGTGTGTATATGTACCATTTCCCCTCCTTTGGAGCTGGGATTTGAACCCAGGCCACAGCCTCTCAGGCTGCAGAAGAATTGGGAGCTGAGTGAACAGACCTCACAACAAGCACACAGTTCAAGTTCTGTGAAGTGTCAAGTGCATAGGGAAAGGCGAGGGCAGGGGTCAAGAGACTCCGAATGAAGTCCTCTCTCTGAATTGATGTTCCTGAGCAAGGCTTTCCCTTCACTGGTCCTCAGGAAATGATTGGATTAGATGATTGCTTAAGCACACCCTGGTTCTGATAGTCTCAGGGTTTATGTAGTCAGATTGTCCTGGAAGCACAAAGTGTAAACAAAGGATCTTGAGCTCCGGAGAGAAATGTGAGTTAAAATTCCAGCGATGCCTCTCACCAGCTGTGTAACCCTGGGTGTGTCATGTAACCTCTCTGAGCTTTGGCTTTCTCATTGATAAAAGGAACAATCGCCAGCTGCCCAAGTGGATGATTAGGACCCATCTATGCCTTTAGACTCCAGAGAAGCTCAGTGATCAGCTCAGCACAACTGTGCTGGCCTTATGCCATGTTCTGGGCTCAGCCGGGGCCTGCAGTGGGTGCAAAGCCACAGCACTGTGGTCACCATGGGGCTCACTGGGCAAGGACTCCATGGCTGGCTGGGCCTCCAAGTCTCTGGGGGTCACGTCACCTGTGGAAGACATCATTTGTGGAAGT